CTCGGTGCCTGCTTCGCCGCGGAGAGAGCTCGGTCCTCGGCTGGAGTCCTCTGCGCTTCCGCCTGCTCAGATTCAGCCCAGCTCTGCTGGTTCCTCCTTCCTGATACGGAATATTTTAGCCGACTGTGTTTATTCCGAGCCGGGACGGGCTGAGGCGGAAGCCGAGGAGTTTCAGTCCAGACCAGGTGAAAATACAAATGTGAGCAGCGCTTCTTCAGACAGTGAATCCAGAGGTGAGAACTTGTAACGAAGCCATTTCACTCTAAAATGTATTTAATTTGGAACCATAATGAAGTCAGCGTTAAGAATTTCACTGGTATAGGAATACGTAAGTTACGTTGTTAACGCGTATTTATATGCATATGCAGTATATTTATACGTAAATATATATAGTATATTTTTATGTAAATATATATATATATACATACATATATAAATACATAAACACGCATATGTACTTATGTACATATACAGTATATTTATACATAAATATATAAAAACATACATATATAAAGACATAAACACAGATATATGTATTTATGTACATATATAGTATATTGATATGTAAATATATATACACATACATATATAAATACATAGACAAACATATGTATTTATGTACATATACAGTATATTTATATGTATATACATACATAAACACACATATGTATTTATGTACTTATACAGTATATTTATTTGTAGATATATACATACATATATAAACACATAAACACATTTATGTACATGTAGAGTATATTTATACATAAATAAATATTCACATATATAAAAACACAAACACATATATGTATTTATGTACATATATGGTATATATATATTCTTATGTATACGCAATACTTATATGAACGTCCTACATACATATATAATAATATTGCTTATTTATTTATTTCACATTACGTTTTTTACAATACATTCCGCCAGTAATTTCAGGTAGGTGGCGACATATCAAAGGTTCATATGGACATTTATGGCATGGGATAAAAACCCCATTTGATCGTTTTCAGTTAACGTACACCATTTCCTGAGTGATAAACCTAGTAGTACTGACTACACAGAGTACGTGTCTCCCAGCAGCTCCAGACTGGACCTCAGAGCAGACCACAGCTTGTCGGAAGAAGCCCCGAAAAGCTCGTACTGCGTTCAGTGACCAGCAGCTGTCCAGACTGGAGAGGAGCTTCCACAGGCAGAAGTACCTGAGTGTCCAGGAGAGGATGGAGCTGGCTGCAGCTCTGAAGCTCAGTGACATCCAGGTGAAGACGTGGTACCAGAACAGAAGGTAACCTCAGCCACCGCATACTAGTACAGCTGATATGACAAATAAAACCCACTTGAACTATACACTCCTATCCTGATTGGACAGCATGTTTGCCATGCAACCACCTCCTCTACAGACGACTCAAAACACTGGGAACACAACGACTGTGACTCCACTTACTGGGACTTTGACTCAACTGTTTACTCTAGGGACGCAGCTTTAAAAAATAAAGTTGGAATGTCCATATTGTCAAGTCCGAAGTCAAGTCTGAAATCAAGTGTGAGGTCAAATCTGAAGTCAAGTCTGAGGACAAAACTGAGGTCACGTCTAAAATCAAGTCTGGGATCAAGTCAGAAGTCAAGTCTGAGGTCAAGTCTGAAATCAAGTCTGAGGTCAAATCTGAAGTTAAGTCTGAAATCAAGTCTGAGGTCAAATCTCAAGTCAATTCTTAAGTTAAGTCTGAGGTCAAGTCTGAGGTCAAGTCTGAAGTCAAGTCTGAGGTTAAGTCTGAAATCAACTCTGAAGTCAACTCTGAAGTTAGGTCTGTGGTCAAGTCTCAAGTCAAGTCTGCGGTCAAGTCTGAAGTCAAGTCTGAGGTCAAGAGTAAGGCACTTGAGTCACCTGACTTGACACCGTGTGGGAGTTAACCTCATTTTCTGTCAATCAGACTCAAAACTACAAAGACTTTGACTCAAAACTACTCCTTGTTGACTTAGACTCCGACCTGGACCTGTTCTTTAACTATGACTCCAACTCAAACACCTGCAGACTCAGCGAGACCGAGACTCAACTAAAACTAAAACCTTTTTTTTTTTT